GACGCCTCTGGTCAGAGGTAGAGATTCTGATGGTGGGTTATTAGGAATTACAACGTACTGGGAGCGACCGGTTAGGAAGGATTGGAACCAATTAAGGGAACTAGAAGAAAAAGAGATATTTTTAAGTTTGGTTAGGAGGATGTTGTGGTCTACTGAATCAAAAGCTTTGGAGAAGTCTAGGAGAATAAGGATGGTTAGTTTCTGCTGATATATGTCTGTGTGAAGGTCTTGGGAAATTTTGATTAGGGCAGACTGAGTAGAATAACCAGGCCTGAATCCAGACTGGTAGGGATTTAGGAGATTATTGTCCTCTAAAAAATGGGATAGCTGGGATTGGACTAACCGCTCTAATGGTTTTGAGAGGTTTGAAAGGAGGGAAATCGGTCGGAAATCATTAGGAACTGATGGGTTTGAAGTCTTCTTCAATGGGCGTACTAGGGCGGTTTTCCAGGATGTAGGGAAGGTAGCATTTTGAAGAGAATAATTGTATATATGATAAAGGATCGGAAGAATGGATGGCAATGCGGCTTTAATCAGTCTGACTAAATATTTTATACAACAAAAATGGAGAATTATTTAATTGTAATTTACTGTACATTTATGAAAACAGTCTTGTAATAAGCTTGATATCATGTGGTTTCAGTGTCATTACACTCTCCCCCCTCCCCCACTGTGCTAACATTTTCATGTAAATCAGTTGAATTTGTTTTGTATATTCCGCTATTGTTAAATGCTTTGAAGTTTAAATGGGTTCATAGTTAACTAAACTAAGCACGCACTAATATAAACGGTATTTTTTCTGAGTCATTTATAAAAATTAGCATTAACATCACCGACAGGTAAAACTGAGTTTGACAGTAAAAAGAAAGAAAATTTTTAACACCTTTTTTTTAAAAAGGTGCAGTATATTTAATTGTTATTATTGTGTTCTTTAGTTTTTATTTATTTATTTATTTTTAAACTGAATCATTAAGAATCTGAATCAACATAGCCCGTGCACACATATATTGATATGCATTAATGTAACTTTGAAGAATCCATGTTTGTAGGTAAGAAGAATGGTTGTTTAATTCCGCCATTCTATAAAGGAAAGTTTGTCAAAACTGAGGTAATTATAATATGAAATTAATACCTCATTATAGTTATCGTGTCATATGTGAGGATATACCGTTTTGTTGTACTAAACCATCGAATTCCTCTCGTATCCAATCCTTGCAATCCAAAATCCTTCGTAAAATCCTCAATGCTTTGTCACAAATAAAAACATCCATAATGATCTTAATGTTTCAGATTTGTCCCAATCCAGATACCTATCCTTCCATAATAAACTTCAGAACCATCCGAACCCTCTCGTTTCTAACCTTCCTCTTCAATTCCTGATAACCCTCCGAGGTGTCTGAAAAGAAGATGGCCCCGTGATCTCCTAATGTAGACATATCATTAGAGTGCTACCAATGGGTAGTTACTCAACAAGTGTTTTCATGTTTTTCTTTAATACAGTTGTAAATATATTAAGAAATAATAAAAAATAAAAAAATATATTGTAATATGCCCCACATTTTACTGTCACGAGTTGTGTCGGATTGAATTGGGTTAGAACTAAGCAGGCAAAGATGACATTTGTCGCGGGTTGCAGAAATAAGAGAGTGGCTAATTTCGAAGAAACTTTTAATTTAAGTTAATTAAAAAAAATGAAATTTCTGTTTTTTATTTTATTAACTTTAATTCAATTAATTTCATAGGATAATTACTTTTATTTCTAAATATATCGCGTTGAATACTGTATTATATATGTTTTTTAAAAGTAACATTAGCTGCAAGAGCAACAGGTATAAGATATCTAAGTACTCATTCAAACTATATATATATATATATATATATATATATATATATATATATATATGAATATATATACTATATATATATGAATAACTACAATTCAAATTATATATATATATGCTAAATAAAATAACATATAAGTATATTTATGTAGATATATGAATTGAGAATCTACTTCATAGGAATCTATTACAAAATGCATGACACATGCTTAGAGTGTATTCCAGCACAATTTTGTCGGTATGTGTGTGGGATGAATGCTAACGAACGACACATACTGTCACAATGTTATGTGATGTCGCTCATCTTTAGTTCATTAAAGCATAATTTAAATTAGACGTTTACGACTCATTGCTTATTCTTTTTACACAATTCAAATTAAAAATTCTTTAATAAATTATTGGAATATGACCTATATAATATGAATTTGGATAATATACAAATACCAAGGAGTATTTATTAATTAATATCAAGACGAGATCGAAAATCTAATAAATCAATTATAGCAATGACTGACATGACGGATATTCTGGAAAACTTATAGAATAGAATAGAAAATAATTTTATTTTGGTAAAAAGTCCCTTTAGAATAACAAAATAGTACAAAATTAAAGTATTACTTCTGGCCTAATTAAAAACAAAAACAAAAAATAAAAAGGAAGAGAAAGTAAACATTAGTAGTAGTAGTAGTAGTAATAGTAGAAAGTAAACATTCAAGTTTACTTAGTTTACTAGTTTACTTTACTTAGTTTTCTAAGTTTACTTAGTTTACTTAGTTTACATTTAAGTCAAGTAAACATTCATAGTAGAAAGTAAACATTCAAGAAAACATTAGTTAAATATACTATATACAAAACAAAAATATATATATATAAAACACTGGAAACTATGACAAGACACTTAAAAATATGTACAGTCGTAAACCATAAATATACGCTTTTAGAAAAAAATACATTAAGTTCATCTTTAAAATAAACTCTGTGTTTCTGCAGAAAAAAAACAACAACCGAATCTGATAATAGAAATTGCCTAAGTATTTAAAAGATGAATAACATGTAAATACATCATTGTGAATAATTGGGAAGTACATTTACAATACATCATAAAAGGGTATATGGAGGGAGAATGTTGAATTTTGATAGGAAGGAAATTATGGAAATTAACAGAGCGACCAATAAAGGAGTTTTGGAATGATGTAGATCTGTGAGAAGGGATGTAAAGGCCAGAAGATCGAGATCTTGTGGAAAGAGCATGGACTGAGGACTTGAATTGAAGAAGGTTGTAGGCGTAAGAAGGACGATGATTGTTGATGATTTGATAGAGGAACGTTCTTAGGAAATATTGTCTTCGAGAGTTAGGAGATATTGTATAGTGATGAGAGACATGGGAGTATCTCGGGACACCAATTAAAAATCTAACGCAGCTGTTCATTAGTCTTTTCAGTCTATCACGAAGTTCCATCATACACCACACAGCTGTAGTCAAAGTGGGGGAAGATGAGAGAGGAAATGAGGAGTCTACGCGTATGTTGAGGTAGGAGATGGCGGAAGCGATGGAATAGTTTGCGGGTAGAAATTGTCCGTCGAGAGTTATGAGAAATATGGTGATTCCATGAGAGGTTTTGATCAATCAAAAATTCTAAATTTTTAACAGATGAGTAGAAGGAGATTGGCTGGTCATTACGATTTAGTATGGGAAAGTCGGTATAGGATCTAAGAAGGGGCTTGGAACCACTAGCGGATCCAGGATTTAATTTTGGGGGGCTTCAGCCCGAAAGGTTTTTTTTTCATAAAAATAACGATAATTACGTTGGAAAAAAAGAAAGAAACTAACTACCTATATGAAATGGTGTTTAAATGGTTCCTAAAGTCCTTTTAAATGTGATTACACGAACAATAATACTTTAAGAATTAATTTTTAGTATTTTTTCCATAAAACATGGTTATATTTTACCAATTTGGGGAAGGGGAGGCTTCAGTCCCAAAGTCCCCTTCGTAGATCCGCCCGTGCTTGAACCCAATTACAATGGCTTGAGTCTTGGCAGTTAAAACGTATTTTTAACTTTTTTTCTTAAAATCATTAACCTTTATTACTTTCCTACCTATAATAGGTAAGGAAAGTATTGCAATCGGGTCAAATCATTCGGTTTTCAACGGATCTATACGTTTCAGAGCCTCCTGAGTCCGAAAAACATTTTTAGCTATTGGTCTGTCTGTCTGTGCCAAGATTTTCTCGGGAACTACTGAACCGATTTTGTTGCTTCTTTTTTTATTTTGTAGGGTTTTGACTACCGATGCCTGTGACAGAAATTCGGTGCTCCATGAGCAATAGCTTGCGCGCAATAAATGAAAAACATGTTTTTCTATAGACTGTAGCGCAAAAGTGGTATAAAACTCCTTCATTTAACAGAAATTATTGTTTGAAAATACTAAGCTATGGCAAAAAGTTTTTTATCAGCAATATTATGAAGTATTGAAATTTTTACACTGATCTACCTTAAGCCGGTTTTCATTGCTTTAGTTTATCAAATAAATCGTACTCAAATCTTATGTTTGATCAATTTTCAGGAAAATGTATCTAGTTCAATTCTTTTTTTTCTTCATGAACATATGTAAAGATATAAAAACTTTTCTGAAATGGGTAGGAAAGTCGTGTGAATGGACACACTAGATATTTTTGATTGTCTTTGTTAACTTATCTTCTTTTAATCTTTAACTTTCAATTTCATAAGTTTAATTCAATTGTACCATCATATTCATCTGTAACTATTTTTAACTTTCTAAACTATTAATTGTGTTTGTTAGCTGTAGTCTTGTTATGTATGTCTATGTGGTAGTTGGTCCAATTGTATATAGGACGAAAATGACCCAGGTGGTTGAAGAGCCTGAAGAAAACATTTATAAATAAATTTCATATTATTAATCTCGCCTTGTTTATGTTTTCACTTCTTTCGTATAGTCTAAAGAACATATCTTAATTTTTTTTTAAATATTTAATTTATTTTTATAAAAATAATAATAATTGTACTATCGGATTTATTGGGTGTTTTACATGATATTGATACTAATTTCGATTATCAAAAAAGATCAATTAGGATTCATTTTGTAAGTAGACGACTCAGATAATCAATGAAGGATTTAAAGCCAGGACTCAGGACTTACCCTGCCACTAAAGGAGCAGCCATCCTCGAAGTCCGGCCTGAGGAAGATCCGGTAGTCCTCCGGTACAACGGTTCCCGGCAACCGAGCCGCAAAGCCGAGAGGCAGCAGGAGGAGCAACAGTTGCGACCAGGATCGAAGCATGACTGGTTAGGATGCGGCGACCCTATGGCCCACTTAAGTTCCGTTAGTTCTTCTCTCGATTTCTCTCCCTTCTCTGAAGGCTGTCTCCATTTAAATTTTTCCTCTCTTAGGGGCTTATTTTAGTGGAGTTCATCAGCGCAGTTAATCGAATTCTCTGAAGAGGGCGAGGTATATGTTTGTAGGAGTGGGGAGAGCGAAGCTGGTACTTATTATAATAGTAGACATCAAGATCTACAAAAAAGTTCTTATAAAAAATTACTAAATTCCCAACAGAAAAGTAGGAAATTCAAGATTTGTGTTTTTCTAAACGAGTCACGGTTTTTTGTTGAATAGGAAGAGATAACTTAAAAAATATTTGATTAAAGTAACTCAACATTGCTCCATAGTAAACTAGACAAAATTTACTACTGGACAAACAAAAGAAGATTTTGTCATTGTTAAAAGAGAGAGTCAATTAAAGAGAATCACAGGCGGATTTACGGGGGGAGGGGCTTTCGGGCTAAAGCCCCTCCTCCCTCCCCCCAAAATGGTAAAATATAACCATGTTTTATGGAAAAATATATCAAAAAATTATCTCTTAAAGTATTATTGCTCGTGTAATTACATTTAAAAGGGCTTTAGGAATCACTTAAACACCATTTCATAGAAGTAGTTAGTTTCCTTCATTTTTTCCAAAGTAATTATCGTCATTTTTATGAAAAAAAAAAGCTTTCCAGCTGAAGCCTCCCCCAAAATCAAATCCTGGATCCGCTAATGAAGAGAACTAATGAGCGGACAAACACAGCTAATAAATTTAAGCTATTAAATCCAGGAATAATTATAACATTACAAAAATTCTAATATATATATATATATATATACACATCGTAATCGGACCATTTTGAGCAAAGATATAGACTACAGTATATTGAACAAATGTTTTGGTTTATTTTTATTAATTAACTATTTCAATTCGACCAAGAAAAGGAAAATGGATTTTTCCAACCCATAATACAATGCATTAACATACTTCCATACTATGCTATCAGGGAATATTTATACAAAAATAAAAAAAAACTAAGTTTTGTGCTTTAGACCACACGTTAGAAGTGAAAACATCAACAGGGAATGATTAACTATCAATCATTATAAAGGGAATAAAATGCTGAATATTTCCTTCGATTACAGTATGCAGATCCGATTTTTAGTTTCAGAGATATTTTAATCCATACCTTCAATAAAACTCGTCATCATTTCGTCGTTGACACTATTTTTTTCCCTTTTCGCCTCTCTAACACGGCTTCGCGTTATGATACAAATTTGAATAATAGCACATTACAGAGACTATTAAATGCTAAATAATTCTCTCGCGTACAGTATGGCACAGGCGGATCTACGGGGAAAGGGGCTTTCGGGCTGAAGCCCCCCCCAAAATGGTAAAATATAACCATGTTTTACCGAAAAAAAATCTTAAAAACTATCTCTTAAAGTATTATTGTTCGTGTAATTACATTTAATAGGACTTTAAGAACCACTTAAACACCATTTCATGTTGGTAGTTAATTTATTTCTTTTTTTTTCCTAATTAATTATCGTTATAAGTATATGAAAATAAAATCTTTCGGGCTGGAGCCCTCTCCCCCCCCCCAAATTAAATTCTGGATCCCCTAGTGCAGTATGGAGGTAAGATATTTAGTTTCTGGGATGTTTTAATCCATACCTCCAATAAAACTCGTTATCATTTGGTTGTTGACTATTTTTTCTCTTTTCGCCTCTCTAACACGGCGTAGCGTTAAGATACAAATTTGAATAATAGCACATTACAGAGAGTTTTAAATGCTGAATAATTCCCACCCTTACAGTATGCAGACCCGATTTTTAGTTTTTGAGATATTTTAATCCATAACTTCAACAAAACTCGTTATCATTTGTTTTTCGACACTTTTTTTCTCTTTTCACCTCCCTAACACAGCATCGCGTTAAGATACAATTTTGAATAACAGCTCACAATTAGTCAAATCCAGCCGACTTTACCAGTGCGTTACACATCGACGGCTCAATCTAATTCATTCTCCAAAAAAAAAGTACAAAACGCTCCGAAAGAAGTTTCCACTTCAATATTTAATTTAAGTAATTAACAATTGCGCCACAGTAAACTAGATAACATTTACTTCAAATGAAAGTTTTTTTTTTTTTAAATTTCTTTATTGAGTATTATAACAATCTGTCTGTTGGACATTGGTTATAGTGAGGTAGGATGACATTCACACCATATGTACAAAAAAATAAAATAAATAGAACAAAATAATAATCAAAAGTATATACAATAGACAATAAAATAAAATAACCTAAAAAATAAGAAAATTAAAACTAAGGAAAAAAACAAAAAAAAAACACATGCATACCTATATACAATCAGGCGAGGGAACTCCAGGAGAACCCTGCGCTACTCTCCCAACCGCGTCACTGGTACTAAAGCCAGCGGAGATTGGTCGAGAGGACTTTAGCAACATACACACATGTCTTGAGTGAAGAATCAGGCCATTGCCAGAACTCCAATTTATATAATCTACAAAAGGTCGCGAGGCCACTGCCGTTTCAACCTTCTTGGAGGATTATAGGGATGGGAGATGCTTGATAGGGATTGTGCAAGAGGATTTGGGTGGTAAGTAAGGTTCTGGTGAAATTTGGAGAATTTTTCTGGGATAAGGTCTAGGACAAATGGGATGTTAAGGTCATGATGTAGGGTTTTGTTGGATACATAGAAAGGAGCATCGACTATTGTTCGAAGGACTTTAGACTGGAAGGATTGGATGCGCTTGATGTTAGAAAATTTTGCTGATCCCCACAGTTCTAGTCCGTAAGTCCAAATAGGTTTCAGTATTGTCTTGTAGATCAGTAGCTTGTTTTCAATGGAAAGTTTAGATTTTCTGCTTAGTAGTCGGTATAGTTGGCCGTATCGTCGGTTGAGTTCTTGTCTTTTGAGTCTAGTATGCGGGTTCCAAGTTAGTCTTCGGTCTAAATGAAAGCCAAGATACCGGACTGTGTCTGAATAAGGAAGCTGGATGGAATTAAAGAGTACTGGTGGACAGGAATTGCGTCGGAGTGTAAAGGTAATATGTTGGCATTTAGATTCATTAACTTTAATGAGCCAGTTATTACACCAGTGCTCAATCAAGGTGAGGTGACTTTGGAGATTTAAGGATGCTATTTCGGGATCAGAGTTGGATGATAAGATTGCGGTGTCGTCAGCGAATGTTGCAAGAAAAGTATCGGGATGAACAGGGATGTCAGCAGTAAAGAGGATGTAAAGCACGGGACCCAAGACGCTGCCTTGGGGAACACCGGCTTTAACGGAGTAGATATTGGAAAATTCTGTTCCACAGCGAACTCGAAAGGAGCGGTCAGAGAGGTAGGATCGGAGGACTAGGTACAAGGACTGAGGTAAATGGATTTTAAGCTTGGAGAGCAGTCCGGAGTGCCATACCCGGTCAAATGCCTGTGCAATGTCCAGAAAGGCACCCGAACAGTATTCCTTGTTTTCTAGGGCTGAGGAAATATGATCAACAACTCGGAGTCCTTGTTGAACAGTAGAATGTTGAGAGCGAAAACCAAACTGATGGGAAGGGATATTTTGGGATTCTATAATGGGTAGGATTCGTTTCAAAAGGATCTTTTCAAAAATTTTTGAAAGGATTGGGAGTAGGCTGATTGGTCTATAGGATGTTGAGCTATTGAGAGGTTTTCCTGGTTTTGGGAAAAGGATAATAGTGGAGTGTTTCCATAACAGAGGGAAGTGGGTGGTGCGTAGGATACAATTGTAGATATATGTAAGGAATATGACTGCTTTGGATGGAAGTTGTCGAAGGATTTGAGGTGTAAGGAGATCATGTCCAGGAGCTTTTCGGAGGATTAGTTTTTTTAATTGAAATTTTACTTCGGAAGGATGAATAGCTTTTGGGGGCAAGGAAAGTGGGATTGGTGATGTAAGGAGTTCTTCTACTGTTACGGTGTGGGCAGGATGGGATTCCGGATGTGAAATAAATGTATTGGATAGGTGAATGGCGAACTCCTCAGCTTTATCTTCGTCAGATGCTGCCCAGGAGCCATCACCTCGTCGGAGAGGATGGGAAACGATGTGAGGATTTAGGATTTTTGTTGTGGTTTTCCAAAGGGAATTGTCGCGAGAAGAGAGGGAGGATAGGTAGGAGTTGAAGGATTGTGATCTGAAGGTGGCTAATTCCAGTTTTAATTGTTTGCAGTAGTAATTATAGGAGCAGCGGTCGGTAGGATGTCGGGTACGTTGCCATAATAATCTGGCACGGCGTTTGGTGCGGATTAGGTTAAGGATGTGTTGGGGTAGAATGGTCTTTATAGGAATTCTGGAGGAGTCTTTTGGGAAGGAGGCAGTCCAGGCGGCTTGTTGGATTGTGGTAGTAAAGGAATTTACGGCACTATCAAGGTCATCGGGAGTTTTGAGGGATATGTTGAGATCAATATTATCGGAGATTATTTGGCGGAAAAGGTCCCAGTTTACTGGGCCCCTAATGAATGACGGTGGAGAAGGTTTGGGAACAGGTTCAAGTGAAACATTAAGGATTAGAGGACTATGGTCAGAGGAAAGTTCATTTAGACGTGTAATGGAACAATTGAGGGGACTTAAGCCGCTGTGGATAAAGAAATCAAGAAGATCAGGATTACGGTTGGGATCTGTGGGCCAGTAGGTAGGAGAGTTGGGGGAAAGGAGGTGAAAACGTTGGGAATTGAGTGCAGACAGCAGGGTTCGGCCACGAGAATTCGTGGTTCTGGAACCCCATTGTTGGTGCTTGGCATTTAGGTCTGCACCCAAGATGAAGTGATGTCCTAAGGAGTCGAGGAGAGAACTGAATTGGGCATTGGATATGGATCGGTTAGGAGGGCAATACGCTGATGCAAGAGTGACCGGAAAGGAGAAGGTTTTTATCACGATAGCGGTGGACTGTAGGAAATCATGTATTGGTAATGGGAGTACGTGATGGGAG